GAGTGTTGTTGCTGGGCGCCGCTGTCTGTTCCGTCGCCGCCACTTCGTGCCTTGGTTGCTCGTACGTCAGCAAGTGGATCCGGGCATGGATGCCCGTTGATGGACACGGAACTGAGCCACGTCATCCCCCACGTAAGGAACACAACTGGGTTCGACCCGTGAGTCAAGTAGTAGCCGCCGTATTATATTGTAGTCATTTCATTCTTTCGTAGATAGATTACATGAATCTATGGTTTTTATTTCTTGTTGTGTATTGTGTCGTAGGCGGTTTATCCGCAGTAGTACATTCTTCATTTTAGTTAATACGTTCGTAGTCAGAGTAATCAATATAATCAATAGCTTATAGTTAAAGTAAACCCATAGGCTGGGCCGGTAGATTGTTGCAAGGCGCCTCGTAGGGAGCTAATAACATCGCGGCGTAGTCGCGCGCAATGCGGTTCGTAGTGGGTCATGGCGTATTACTAGTCGGGGCTGCTTAGGCCTATTGGGAGTCCGCGTGGCACAGTGGCGGGCAGCGAGCGCGGCGTAAGTCCCCGTTCCACCCTCACGCCGACACCGACGCCGCTCCTAAGCAGGGTTGACCCCGATGCTCTTTAGCTTATGCGAGGAGCAAGGCGTCCGTGCCGGCGGCGACAGCGGCTACGTACCAGGCGACGCAATGAGAGAATCGGGTTAAAGCGCGCGATTTCGGAGAGTGGAGACAAATCGATCGATGGAATAGGATGGAGTAGAAGTGTAAGATGTGAATGCAACGAAGCAGAAGGCCAGAAAGAGCTTCTAGTGAATGCACTCCAAGAACCAAGTTTGAGCATCCCCGTCGCCAGCATTCGTGAAAGACGTCCGTGGGCAATTCGAACGCGTAGCAGCCTTTTCGAGTTTTCGAATTTCTAATCAAAACGAAAGCAATACTTCAGTTCTTTTCACTATTATCGTGGATAATGAGTCTCAAGCCAGTGATTTATGGCTGAAATACGAAGTCCATAACGTGTAGTTTTTGTACGTTTGTTTCTCTTCAGAAACCGAATCTTCATGCGTGAAACTTTGTGTGCTATTTCCAGTGATCACAACTGACATATTCATGTTAGGAAAGAGTGCAAGAATTTTCCGCGCAAGATTCCTTTAACCGAATTCGCTGGAAACTTGTACTCGGGGGTTACTTAGGGTCCTAGTGAGTGGTGAATAATACCCAATTATTCAACAGTTTGAGAGCAAATCATGAATTCACTTCATGGCGCAATGTGGTTCGGGAGAAACCAGTCGCCGCTGCGGCGCGCGACATGTTCGCGAACTTCAGTGCGGAGCGAGAAATCCGTGAGCCAGCCGAGTGAAGCCTGTCCAAGCGGTGAGGGTGAGGCGACCTACTCGATATGCGCGAAAAGCCGGAAGTTCGAGTGCACACTATTTCACCGAGGGGGCGAACAACCGCGCGTCGCGGCGGCGACTGGCTCCTCCCGAGCCACATTGCGCCCAGTTCATGAAGCATTTTAGCAGATATGACGACGTTCATAATTTGCGATTCGTTGCAATGCAAGTGAGACAAGTACGCCGTCTTTTTTCATGTGAAATTCGGAAATGGCAGTGGGAAGTTAATAGGTACGTCGCGCACAGAGAAAGGGAATCGAGGCAGCATGAATTTCTACTAATTAAGGAATCTTCCGCGGAAAAAGCTCCGCCTCCATTACCACAGAAAAACGATACCTTAGGCCCCTAGCCTCATGAGCATAGCAAAAAGAACGGAACATAAGCGTTAGTTTCGATAATACTAATCCTACACACAAGACAAAATGATCACTCTTTCCGTGGAAGATTCCTTTAAATAGACAATAGATAGTACTTCTAACATTTCGCATAAACATGGGTACATCTGTGGTACGAAAACCCATATATTCTTTCATATTTAATCAGTTTTGCTCCGCCCGCTGTCGCGCGCATCACACGGTAGGCTTCAGCGGAAACTGGAGGACCTGTGGAACATCTGCTGATCTACTCCACAAAGCACCTCACTATTGATATGTCGAACAACCTGAGTTGGCAGGCTCTCCAGTTTCATTGAAGTCCATCATGGATGCGCGTGAAAGCGAAGCTGAACTGGTATATTTATCACAACTCTGTAAACACCCAGCATTTTTCTTGAATCCTGACAATTTAGCGGTGAATAGGGTTTTGCTGTTAGCCTCAAATGAAAACGAAATATGCTCCTTATAATAAGTGAACATCTGATGCTTATCGTTGCTTTACATTCATACTGTTCAAAAATCCTAAAGTTGAGAATCCAATTGCTATCGGCAAAGCGATAGCGACGTGATGGACAAGCGGTGGAGCGATCGCGTCGCTCTGTCGCTGGTCCATCGCGTTGCAATCGCTGAGTTTGGCCGACATCCGAGCGGTTTAATGAATTCTGGCTATCCCAGCCCAGCCCACAGAACACTGGATTCAACGTGGGCCGCGCAAAGGTTTAGCAACTTCTGCTTTTTAACGCGCCCTGACAGCCTTTACATTTTGCTGTCATCCTCCCTTGCTAAAGAACAATGTCCCTTTTCCATCCTACGTGTCGTGTGAAACTCTACGACGAAAATCAACTAACGGTTGAGTACGACATGTCCATTCTCATCCTTCCGCGAGAACGTACGCAACTGGATCTGTACGGCCAATATTTCTAACCCAGACTGTTCACCACAATCGGCCATTGCCGCCTCAGCGGTTTTCTTACACCTTTTTGTGGCCATCCTTTGCTACGTGCCAATTGTATTAGGAAAGCCATGCAGACTTATATATGGCGGACTGTATGCCATCACGCTCATAGTCATTCGTCTAATGAAGAAAAAATCTTTGGCAATACTGCGCATGGCTAGTGGTTAAAGGAGACAGCGGCAGAATAGGTGACGGTGACGTGGAAGCCTTCGTTGATGCACCACTAATCGCTGCCGTAGCACTCACAGTAACAAGACGCATGGCTGTCAAAATGTCGGACGTTTTTTCACAACCAACAACAATCTGTTCTGTATTACCGCAAGGAAAAAAGATCCGCACCTCGAAAACAACGATAAACCTGAAAATCAACAGTTTCCAACAGGAAGCATGCATCCGTTTGATCAACAACAAATCCGTTGTGAATTACTTAGAACGGTCTGCATCTCGAATACGAAAAAGAAATTCTGCTCTTTACAGGGGACTCAGAACAGCACGTCATGGATTCAAAACGTTGCACACGATGGGATCCTGGAGGAATGTGCGCAGATGTTGAAAGTTGAATCCTCGTTAATCCCGAACTCGCAGAAAGCAATCAATATCCAGGAGTAACGTAGTGTGTCGAGAGTTGTGGAGGACCTGGTTGCGGGTGCCTTCTCTACAGAATATACCACCTGCCGAAAAATGACAAAGTATATGAACTCTTCAAGTGCGCACAGCGGAAGGAAATGGTCTTGTTATGGATGTCGTCTATGAGATAACCTCAAAACACACAATACTGTAGGGGAATAGGGATATTTTAGATAGTTGGATGAAGGCCGGAAGAGAAGAGTGGAAGGAGGATAATGGAAGAAGATCAGAAGAAGTAAACAAGGACGATATAAAAGGGGTGATCTCAGTAGAATAAACGATTCCCCTCAAGTGTTCCTGAGCATCCGACTGGCGATCAGGCCAGTAACTCAAGAAGCGGAGGAGGCCGTCACCGAGTGAGGAGGCAGTAAACGTAGCAGTGGGAGCCGTGCACGGAGTACTCGAAGCGACAAGGATAGAAGACATCAGCGAAGAAGATGTCAACGAATCAGGGAAGTTCAGTCGTCATCAAGGCGTCGGCGGTGGCGGAACCCGGGACCTTGGTGGAGGTCTACCGGGGACGTGCCCCGGGCGCGTATGTGCCGGGAACACCGTGGCGCACTTGGTGGCGACTTTTCAATAATTTCCTCATTTTGAGGAAAGTCACAGATGAAATGGAGCAACGGCTTATATTTTTGCAGGAAATCGGCGGCAGCAATTATGAATTGTTGGAGTCACTACTGCAAGGCAAGGAGCCGGAGCAGGTGACACTGAAGGAGCTGAGTGAAACGATGGCCGGCCATTTCCAGCCGAAGAAATTAATCCTGGCAGAACGCTATGGATTAATGTCACGCTCACAACGCCCTGGACAAGCACTGCAGGATTACTATGCGGAAGTACAGAAGGCTGCAGCGACGTGTGAGTTTGAGAGGATTACAGATCACCGGGACGCCATGGTTACCATGGTGTTTATTGGGGGGTTAGCCTCCATTGAAACTAGGAAACGGCTCTTGGAGAGGGAGAACCTGACCTCGAAGGAAGCTCTAGAGGCGGCAGAGGCGTTTGAAAGAGTAGGCAAAAATGCGCCTCATTTAAAAGAAGGAATCCAAGAAGTGGGAATTTCGATGGTTCAAGCGAAAAGAGGAAAGCTTCCAAACGCGAAACAAGATAAACTGCCCCCGAGAGCCAGAACAATGCAAAATAAAAGCCGGGTGAAAGAACAACAGCAGAGTGTGAGAGTAAACAACCGCTCGGAGGCTGCGGCTCAATGCACATGTTGTGGAGGTCGAGGGCATGTTTTTTATCAGTGCTTCAAAAAGCAAACTGCGTTCTGTGCTAATTGCTCTCGACCCGGGCACATGGCTAGGGCATGCAGATCGAGGAGGACTAATCTAAAAGTCTCCCGCCGGGTTAACTGGTGTGCGGAGCCCAGCACCTCCGACCTTGACGAGATGGACAGTGGTGAGAATAACATTGATAGAGTGAGTCATAAGGAACGTCAAGGTCGTAGAGAAGAGCTGGCAAAGTGGAGGCATCAGGCCGAGAGGTCCAGAAGGACCCAAGGTTTGAAGGTCGGACGATCCGCCAAGAGGCGTCGATCGGGAGGCCCGTCGTTGTGCCAGAAAGTGGAGCCAGCTTCTATGCTGAGCATAAATATCCACGGCACCGACATAGCGTGTGAATTGGATACCGGAGCCTCGGTATCGATATTGGATGTGTCATCATGGAAGAAAATAGGCAAGCCTCCACTCACGGAGCCCACAATAGAGGCCACAGCCTACAATAATAGCCCGATTCAGTTTCGTGGCAAGTGCACAGTGTGGGTTCAGTTCAATGGTAGGCAAGCGAAAATGGACCTGCATGTAGTGGAAGGAGCCACTCGTACTTTATGCGGAAGGGATATGATCAGAGCCCTGGAAATCGATTGTGGCCCCCATTATCAGAGTATACATGAAATGCAGGATAAACCCCTGCTGATGGTGGGCCAGAAGCTCACCAGGATTTTACAGGATAATGCGGTGGTATTTAAACCCGGCCTGGGAAGATGTACAACCGCTCAAGCCACATTAAAGTTTAAGGGAGAGCCAGTACCGAAGTTTTTCCGAGCACGACCGGTACCACTAGCCCTACGACCTAAAGTAGAACAGAAACTCAAAGAGTTAGTGGACAATGGTACATTAACCCAGGTGGACCATTCGGAGTGGGCTACTCCGTAGTGGTCGTTCCAAAACCTGGAGGTAAAATCAGAATATGCGGTGACTATAAAATAACAATAAATCCGCAATTGGATATAAATCAGTATCCGCTACCAAAACCAGATGATTTGTTCCACATGTTGCAATGGTGGACGGAAGTTTTCAAAGATGGACCTGTCCGAGGCATATATGCAGGTCGAGCTGGATAAAGAATCCAGGAAATACACTACCGTGAATACCCAAAAAGGGCTTTTTGAGTACAACCGGATAGCATTTGGAATAGCATCCGCTCCGGCGATTTTTCAGAAAATAATGGAAACTACACTAGCCGGAATAGAGGGGGTAGTAATTTACTTGGATGATATAACGGTCACGGGACCGGATGATGATACCCACCTCGACAGACTTGAGAAGGTCTTACAAAGGTTAAAAGCGGCGGGATTCCGCTTGAAGCGAAGCAAATGTGAATTTTTGAAGACGCAGATGGAGTTCTTAGGCCATATTGTGGATGCTCAAGGTATAAGACCATCCCCTCATAAAGTAGAGGCAATGCAGAGAATGCCTGCGCCAAAAAACATTAAGGAATTGGAATCTTTCCTAGGAATGATCCAGTATTATGGTAAATTTATACCAAATCTGTCCACGTTAGCCGCCCCATTAAATTCGTTGAGGAAAAAGGGAGCGGAATGGTGTTGGAGTAAAGAATGCCAAATGGCATTCGGAGAGATAAAACGCAGATTAACTGCGGCTGATGTACTTGCCCATTATGATCCTGATGTGCCCGTCGTGCTAGCTACGGATGCATCGGACTATGGGGTAGGAGCAGTAATCTACCACAAGTACAAAGACGGCACAGAAAAAGTGATCGCGTATGCCTCACGTTCGCTAACTAAAGAGGAAAGAAATTATGCGCAGATAGAAAAAGAAGCGCTAGGCATAGTCTATGGGGTGGAGAAGTTCAATCAATTTTTATATGGTAGGAGATTCACGTTATTGACAGATCACCAGCCATTGGTGAGGATATTTGGTCCGAAAAATGGACTGCCCACTATAGCAGCTAAGAGACTGCATCGATGGGGGCTTCGGTTGATGGTTTATTCATTCGACATTCAATATCGGAAGACTGCGGATTTTGGTAACGCGGATGGGTTGTCACGGCTACCTGACTGTAGAGAGTTACCTAGCGCAGAAGCCGTCATTAGTGAGTTTCAGGCGAGAGCCATGGAACAAGAGATTTTTGAAAATTTGCCCCTGTCAGAAGAAGTAGTAGCCAAAGCGACATTGGAGGATCCAGAATTAGTTAAGGTCTTACAGTATGTCAGGAAGGGCTGGCCGCCTAAAATAGAAGAGAAGTTGAAGGCCTATGCTGTGAAGAGTGCAGCAATATCAATATACGAAGGGTGTCTCCTGTGGGAAAACAGGGTGATCGTTCCGTTCAAGTTTAGAAAAAAGGTGTTGCAAATGTTGCATACCAGCCATTACGGAAAAAACCGCATGATAAGTCTCGCCCGGAGGAAAGTATGGTACCCGGGAATTGATAAGGAAATTGCTCAATTAGCGAGGACTTGTGAGACTTGTGCCGTTTTCGCAAACGACCCTGTGAAGACACCACTGCATTTGTGGGAAGAGCCAGCCAAACCTTGGCAGAGAATACACATAGATTTCTGCCAGACACAAGGTGGAGAAAAGTGGCTGATAGCGGTCGACGCTAAGTCGAAGTGGCCGGAGGTGGTCCGGATGGGCCTAACTACGGCCGAAAAAACCATAGAGAAGTTGCGAATGATCTTCGCCACGCATGGGCTTCCGGAGCAAATTGTATCCGATAACGGACCCCCATTTGCGTCAGCGATGTTCAGGAGATTCTGCGAAGCGAGGAATATTACGTTAATTTTGACCTCGCCATACCATCCTAATTCTAATGGCGAAGCAGAAAGGTTCGTCCAGACTTTCAAGAAAGGATGGTATAAAGGGCTTCGGGATGGTAGGAAGCCGGAAAATGTGCTGACGGAATTGCTCTTCGAGTATAGAGTAACCCCTCACCGTGCGACCGGTAGGTCGCCGGCTGAAATACTGATGGGGAGAGAATTGAGAACAACGTTAGACATAAGGAAAACGAAGGATAAGGTAACCGGAAGTAGTGCTTATAGAGAACGCATGATTGCCGACTACAACAAGAGGGGGAGAAGAGAGAGAACTTTTGTAGTCGGCCAGCAAGTCTACATTCGGAATTACCAGAAAGGTGACAGGTGGATACCAGGAATTGTCACCCAAGTTTTGAGTGGGCAGATGTATGAGATTCATTGTGGCATTGGTAGCCGTAAAGCCCACGCGGATCAAATGAGAGAGAGATTGGTGCCGGAGCAGGAGTCGATGCGGATAGCCCAAAAAGGAAGGCTAGGATTGGAACAAGGGTTGCCGCAGAGAAGGTCAGAGCGAATACGTAAAATGACAGACAGGATGAAGAGTTATGTGGAAAAACGGGAAAAAATGAGTATAATTAAGCATAGCGTTAATGTAGTGGACGCGATAAGTTGGGTGAATGATAGGGACGTGGATGGTGATATAAAAGGAGTAGTAGCGGGAAGGTTGGCAATGATGTGGACATACGTGCCGAGTGCGGCTGTGCCACCACCACCACCACCGCCGAATACGCAAGCGGTCACGACGGCGTCGCCCGCTGGGAATGGATCTCCTATAGTGATCCAGATCCCTGCACCAGTGGTCGCAGCGGTAAGTAATATAAGTTGGGTTATAGAGTTACGGTGTAGCAGGAAGAGTATGTTTAGCAGCCAGCACAGCCGCAAGTTGGGACGCGCGAGGGACGTCCGGCAGGCTGGACCAGCCGTGGGTCCTACAGAGGTCGTGGACCCCGTAGGGGGCGACGTGGACGTCGCCCGACACTGCGTCAGGAGCTGGATCATATGCGAGTTCTATGTGCACAACTCGCTGCTCAAATTCAAGAAGCGGCAAATCCAAGTACGCGCTCCCGTAGAGCGGAAGACGAAATGGAGTAGTGATGATTTGTAATAATGTGTGTTTTTTTTAAAAAAGACAAATAAAGAGGTGTTGCAATGGTGTACAGGTCAAAGAGTCGCGGTACCGACTGTGGGATAAAGTTTCCCTAGTCAGTGGGTCGTGTGAGTGATTAGGCAAGTGACTAAAGGTCACTTGGGGGGAGATGTAGGGGAATAGGGATATTTTAGATAGTTGGATGAAGGCCGGAAGAGAAGAGTGGAAGGAGGATAATGGAAGAAGATCAGAAGAAGTAAACAAGGACGATATAAAAGGGGTGATCTCAGTAGAATAAACGATTCCCCTCAAGTGTTCCTGAGCATCCGACCAAACGACGGTATCGCTGCAACCAACAGTTCCCCTAATTGTGGGTAATATGAGGGTTACTTTGAGTTCTGTCGCAATCCCTCCCACGCCTTCCTCGTCTTCCGCACCCATCTCGAATGAC